TAATTCACTGAAGTCAGTCCCTTTTATATACGGCACTCTCCAAACCGGTTTAAACACGGCAATGCAAGTTAAAACACGATTGCTGCAGCAGGCTCATAATCGCTTTCCTCTGATATCCAAAGTCGCCTGTTCGGGTTTAATCCGTGTATTGAACCAGTGTTCCAGATTTAAATATAAATATATAAACACATGTGTACAACACACAAATATACGTAGAAGTACACACAATACACACACGTCTTCTCTATCACAAAGCTGTGTAATCACGCACACACTCATCACACTACTTGTATCAACTGCCTGTAAGCAATGTATCATTTTACAATAATGCAAGCAGATGCGACTGCAGGAATAAACTCTCATTGCAGGTACTTACACAAAAAGCGCTCTGATATCCAAAGTCGCCGAATCTCTTATTTCACTGATTTTCCTAAACTTATATTACTGTCAGGTGCAAAAATCAGATTAGACAAACTTGGACATTTTACTTACACTTCTTTTAATTTTTTCTACATAGTACGTTTATCTACAATCCATGATATTTCCATATAAATAATTATATTTTAGCTCATTTGTGGCACAGTGCAGTGGAGGGCCAGATGAACTGACCTCGCGGGCCGTAGTTTGGTGACCCCTGATCTAGAGTCTAGACTGCCCTTCTAAACTAAAGTTTAAAATTTTGTTGGATAGTTTGCATGAAAAATCTTACCTTACTAATCTTTTGATATTCTTTGAAGAGATTGCTGTTTATACAGATGAAGGTATGGGTGTGCCAGTGTGGATTTGGTGTATCTACATTTTCAGAATGCACTTGACAAGGTGCCAAATGAAAAGCTTGTTACAAAGTTACCTTTGTTGTGGAGGATAGGTTGACTCATTTGATAGAAAAGTGGCTGGAAGGAAGAAAGCAAATGGTTGTTATAAATGGAGTTCAGTCATACTGGATTAATGTCACGAGTGGGATATCCTCAGGTCTTAGTGTTATGATTTTTGCTCTTTTTGATTTAGATGAATAACATAGATGAAGGAATGCTCAATAGATTATTTAAATTTGCTGATGGCATTAAGGTTTTCAGTGTTGATGATGCGAGGAGGATGATACTACTTTACAAAAGGATTTGGATTATTCGGTGACTTTTAATTATAATAAATGCAAGTTGATGCACGTGGGATTTCACAATTTGAATTATGAGTATAAATTTGATGGGAGTAACCTTAACAGTGTTATGGAAAAAATATCTTGGTGTTCTGGTTCACAAGTTTCTTAAGCAATCCAAGTAATGTGTTGTTGCTAATAGCAGGGATTTAAGGCTCTATCTACAAAAATACTGAACACACGTATAAATAGGCTATAATATCTTTGTTTAGGTCATCGTTTAGGCCACATTTAGAGTATTGTGTTCAGTCTCGGACTCCTAACCTTAGAAAGGACATTGAACTGTTGAAAAGGGTTAAGAGGAGGGCTAGTAGGATGGAAAGGTTGTCATATGAGGATAGGATAAAATTTCTGAAGAGTTAGAAGAGATATGACTGATGTATTTAAGATTGTTAAAGCAATTCATTGTGTTGATGCATCTCCTTTTTTTCGTATTTAACGGTGTGAATGGTAAGAGTGATTAGCAATTAAGACAGCTAGAGTTTCTTATTAAGTTGGTTGGTCTTTGGAAATAGTTGCCCTCAGATGTAATAGATGCTGCTAATTTCAGGAATTTTAAGGGAAAACGTGATAAATTATTAAATTATAAGGACTGGCTTAGGGTTTTTAGTGTTTAGTTTAATTTAGTAAGTAGGAATGCATAGATGTACCAAAATGCCCCTTGTTGTCAGTTAATATCATGTTAAAGTTGACTTTAAAAAACGAAGCTCTAAGTCAGCCCTTACCATTCAAGCATTTATCGAGCCTTCTCTTAAACTCCATTAAATGTACTCCATCCCCATATTTGAAAAATTTAAAATGCTAAAAAATAACACTGTCTTGGCTGAATATGATTTCTACTGTGCACAATTTGTAATTGTGTGCCCTAATCCTACCATTCTTAATATTAAATACGAAGAAAGATGATAAATCGACATTATCAATTCCCTTACCAATCATAAACACTTCAGTCAGATTTTTATGGCATAAAGTTACACAATTGGCTAGCTCTCGTAACCCGGAGCCCCCCAGTGGCACAGCGGGCTTACAGCGCTAGAAACCGGGTTTCGATACCCGTGGTGGGCAGAGCACAGATAGCGCTTGTGTAGCTTTGTGCATAATTAAAAAACAATCGTAACCCGGTTTTAGAGTTATAAGCCTTTAGACTTGCCACTGTGCCACTGGGTGGCACATCAATAAGAGCCCTTCTACTTCTTTTTCTTTTGAGAAAAATCAGTTAAATTGCCCTTGTATGACAGCTTTTCCATTCCAGGTATCATACTAGTACCTTTCACTGAACCTCTGTAGAACCGGTGTATCAATGTACTGTTTTCATCAATAAACTTATAAATTTGTGGACGATATTCATCAAATACTAAACTTCTTATCTCATTTCTAGCATAAGAGATATCTCCAGTTGAACTTCTCCCCATAAATCCATCAAATTCCCAGTTTTTCTTAAATATTTGATTAGCTCTTTGGTGTTCCTTTGATCTGGTTGGGCTCCATCTCCTTCACTGGATAACAGCTGTTGATTCTTTGCAGTACCAGCTGTAATGACCGTATTTCCCACATATATAAAATACTTCCCTTTTATTGGCATCCTTTGAGAGCCATTGCTATTCTTTACAGGCAAAAACCTTCTGTTAGTGGTAATATTTCATTTGAAGTTATATTTGAAACACCTACTTTTTGTGTTTTATTTCCTCCATTATGTGCAACTAGTTGTCTAACAACTCATTTCGGTTGATTCTTCGAGATTATTTTCAAGTTAAAAAAAGAGAAATATGTTGTAAAATAAACCATTGAAAACAACAAGATGTTAACTGCGGATATATATATTGATACGTCTCCGTTTGTTAATTGATTTTTCCGTAACTTCGTTCCAACGAAACTTTAACGACACAAGTCT